GAAAATCGATTTTACGCTGTCCATTTTCAATATTCAGATAATTTTGCGAAACTACATATCACGTAACTTTTATTTAATGAGCAATGAATAAACAATTGCTCAGTAGTATTTTAGATTATGTCAACACAGCCAATTAGGCAATTAGGATCCTGTTGGTTTTATTAAATCACTAATAAGTTTTTCAATTTCAATTACAGAAAGGAGCAACGCAAGGGATCAAGATTGCCGTAGACAATTGGCTTTATTCCAACGATAAAATTTATGAACACGCTATCAAAAAAGAGCTTGAAGCTCTTTGTCCGGACCGAATGGAACGATACAAAAAAGCTTCCAGATGGGAGGCTTTATTTTGCAAAATTGAAAGCTTAGTAAGTAGCATGATTTTAATCCTAGGTTTTGCAAGTGCCAGTACACATACTATTAAAACATAGTGCACATTCCTGTACGTAGTACTATGTTTTAATAGTATGTGTACTGGCACTTGCAGAGCCCATTTAGCACATAATTTAATAATTATTTTTTAATTTGTAGATTAGCACAGAATCTTGCAAGTATCGTGGAGCATTATTTGGCACCTTTTGTCGCTCTGTATTTGAGCATGTTTTTAAAAAGAAGGTTTCTCCAACTGTTAACTCTGAAAGTTCTGAAGCCAAAATAGCTTCCTGGAAATTGAGAAAAGAAGTGCAGACAAACTTGACGCGATAGTTGACGAAGATGACAAAATGTACCTTCAAATGGTTGCTAAACGGGTTTTTGGAAGACAACCTACCAAAAATCAGTATGCGGTAACATATGCCATCTTACATAATCTGTTCAACCCTGAAATTACAAAAATTAAGTTTGACGAAAAATATTTAACGCAAAAAATGCAATACTTTTTGGTAAAGTATATACTTATCTTTAATATATTGCTATATCAATACTTGCAAACTTATCAGTAATTTACATACTTTCCTTAATTATATAATCTTTGATTCACAATAGCGTAGTAATAACGATAAAGAAAATCTTGAAGATGAATCTTCGAGTATATCTGATAGTGAATGAATACTATAACTATTATAGTATCTAATTATTTATATTATTTATGCTTTATTATAATCTTTTATATCTAATTATATGAAATTAAAATCTAT